CATAAGGAGAGTACGTGATTATTAAAAAAAAATAAAAAATAGATAAAATTTGCATTTTATGGACGATACAGATTTTTGGGGATTTCAAGATAATTTACTAAAACATAAAAAGTAATAAGTTCAAATCTGGAACAAATATAAATATCATAATCATTTCTTATAAATACCATTTCCTAATGTAACTTTCCAAGATATTAAAGATCATAATGCAAAATAACTAAATTTATCAAAAGTAACAGGCTTTATGTTTCTTAAGTTAAACTACATGCATTTATGAAAGTTCTTATGAAGTTTCAAGCAGTTTCATCCACTAGTTTTATTGTTGGAATGAAATATAGCAAGACTTGCATTGGCTACTCGGAAAGTTAGTAGCCGGTGGTCATTGGGTTAATTGTTGTTCACAGTATAAAATTTGGATAACTTTCAGAAATGTGGCGGACTTCCCTTGCTCTTATTAATATTTTCTGTTAGTCATTAAAACAGAGAGATTTCTCCATTACGAAAAGAGTAGACATACTTGTGAGTTACAATGAGCCACACTTGACTCACAATCCTCTGTGGCCTTCCAACAGAGCTTGAAATTAGGAAAAAAAAACATCTTCAGAATCCAGGCCGAGTAGCTGGTGAACTTGTACTGAAAAAACAAATACTTGCTCCAGATTTGTAATGAACCTGCTACTGCTTGGTTCCTGCTTGTTAAACATCTCCATTTAATTTTATTATTGGTGTTTTTCAATGAAGATATTTAGTTTCAGTTTAACATAGATTTAAGTACTTTCTCTGGTATAAACTTTCATTACTTGTACCTTTATCTAGGTCTTCTCTGTTGAAGAAATGAAAACACTACTTCTATCATTTTCTAGTGTAAAACAGTGCAAACTTGAAAACATCTGAAACTTTTGTTATCGTTCCGGTACTTTTGGTAGTTTAACAGAGGAAATATACTGTATATTGTATAATGCAAATGTTTGATTCTTGATCTTGAAGTTACATAGACTTGTATATACAGAAATGGCAGAGTTTGTATTAAGGGAATTCTGCCCCTTTAAACCCCACTAGAGGATGTCCTCTCCAAAAAATTATAAAGTTTGGAACTGACCCTATAAATATAGTAAAATATTACTGTATATAACTAATTCAACTGTAAGGTCCATCTATCCTTACACGCATTGTCAGTTTACAGAGTGGGTAGCTGGAAGTAATTACACCTTAAGAAAAAGCTAGAACGTAATAGTGATAAGACTTAAACATTGAAGTAACAATGATGGTGAACACAGTTGTGAATGATAGTAAAGTTAATTAGAAGTAAAGTAATAATGTAAATACATAATTGGTGTTAAAAATAAAATAATGTTGTGTTATTAATTCTTACCCTAGAAATATGGTTTGTAAATGATTTTAATAAAATATATAATAATTACAATTCACTAGCTTAATCACACTGTGACAGTTGCTGTTCATGCAAATTGACAATATACATATGTATAAAGAAACTACAGAATCTTTGTAGCAAATTACATCAAAAGGAAAGATAGCATGATTGTTACACAACATATCGAAACCTGAGATGGAATATAGTTAGATTTAATTTTGTGGAGAAGAAAAAAATAAATAAAAATGCAGCCATAAAACAAAAATCCAACACTAGGGAACAAATCATAAGGTGGGTCATTATGTAATGTGCCCTGATTTTTTGAGCTACCAACAGAAGTAAGGCCCAAATTGCAGTGGGGGTACACTGTCTGTCCGGTTTAACCTCAGTTTCACTGGCCTCATCTTAAAAAGAAAAAAAGGATCAAATGTGGATGCTCAATCCTACATCTTTACCACCTTTTGCTGTCTGCAGCCAGAAGTTGAAAGGTGGTTGTTCACTGTTACATTTAGATAAAAAAAAAATATTTTACTAAGAAAAGCAATAATATTGTAGGTTAGTTACATTTATAGAATGATGTGAGACTTGTAGTAGATGTGAACATGGCTTCTGAACTTTCTCTGATAGGTTAATTATATGTTTGTAGTGGGAGCAAAACTTCTTGAATTTGGCATTTCGACCTCCAATGTGATGTTTGGACATAAATACCAAAACGTTATAGTTTTATTACACTAAACCCAACCTTTTGATTTTAGTATAGCTCCCACATTAATTAGATGGCAGGTAAAATCAAGAAAAAATTAATTGTTTTCAAGGATGTTTTAAGAAACTTAATGAAACCATTAAAGTATAATACCAAGTGACTAGCTGGTACATGCAAATGATTTGTTTGGTTTTCAAATATTGTAATACATCTTGGTGCTTGTGCTTTTACACACTTGTATAATAGTGATGTTTTCACAATTTACAAAGCTACTGTGTTAAAATCAGTGTCGAATAAGAAGGTAATCAGGCTTGTTTTGCCTAGTATAATTATAATCTGGTAACAGAGTCATGATGAAAAGCTTAATCCATTCTCTGAATGACAAGTGTATCACATTAGAACACTGCTGGTGTCACAGCATGAAGCAACTGTAGACAGAACCTCAACCTTCAAGGTTTTCTTGTTTGTGAGAGCACTGTCTGCGTGTTGTTGGTTCTGTTGTGAGACTTGTCTTGGATGTGAACATGGCTTCTGAACTCTGTCTCTGATAGGTTAATAACATGTTTGTAGATCTGATGTGGATTTGAACATACAGGGATAGAAATAATGAAATAAATTTACATTCACTTGTGGGAAAGCTATCAGGAAGATTACATTTCCCCCATGTAAAGTTGCATTTCCTCATGAATTGTTTTTTATTTAATGCATGCAATATGTTCACTTTCATTGGTTATGACTAAAAGAATATGGATGGACCATACATTCCTGATCAGGAAAGCAAACTGAAAAGATGAAATTACTCAAGCAAAGTTAAATTCTTTGGGAATGTAATATTTTGATCCCTTACGTATCTTCTGAACTCTGTCTATGATAGGTTAGTTACATTTATAGAATGATGTGAGACTTGTAGTAGATGTGAACATGGCTTCTGAACTTTCTCTGATAGGTTAATTATATGTTTGTAGATGTGATGCAAGTCTTGTCTTGAATGTGAAAGTGGCTTCTGAACTCTGTCTCTGATAGGTTAGTTATGTTTATAGATCTGACATGGTACTTGTCTTGGACATGAGAACAGCTTTTTACTCTGTCTTCGATAGGTTAATTATCTCTTTGTAGTTGTGATGTCAGATGATAGGTTTGTTATATTTATAGATTGATGTGAGACTTGTAGTAGATGTAAACATGGCTTCTGAACTTTCTCTGATAGGTTAATTATATGTTTGTAGATGTGATGTGAGTCTTGTCTTGGATGCGAGCTATCTGACATGGGACTTGTCTTGGACATGAGAACAGCTTTTTACTCTGACTTTGATAGGTTAATTATCTCTTTGTAGTTGTGATGTCATATATTTTCTGGATGTGAACGTGGCTTCTGAGCTCTTTCTATTAGGTTAATTATCTGTTAGTATTGTGATGTGGGACTTTTCTTGGAGATAAATATAATCTGTGAACTGTTATCCTTAACATTTTCCAATATTTCAGTGATGCTTGTTTCGTATAATCATTGCATTGAACATGAGCTTTAAATTTGGCTATGTAGAGAGGCATTTGAAGAGCTGGCTGCAGATCTTCTAGCAAGGATAGAGGCTACTATGAGAGAAGTCTTACAGGCAGCAAGTAAGTAATTTAAAGAATTTTACTATGGGTTAATTTGTCATCTGTGTTTAAACATATTCATTTGAATAAGTAAGTTTCAGAAAGTAAAATGCTGTTGGTACAGACTGTTTATAACAGTGTACTGTATTGCGTAGGTCGAAACACACCCACATATCAACTGTTAAGCATGTCACCAAGGAATACCATTATTATTACTGATTTGGGATGTTATTTTAATTTTCAACAAAATGTTCTATTAGGTCAAGTGTTTATCAAGGAGTCCACCAGAATGATAATTGTTAGAAACCAATAGTTGTTGTGCTTTGTTCTGAAATTCAATCTTTAGTTGTTTGCTATGAATTTGAATTATACATACACTGTTCCTGTTGTTAACCAGTACTGCTAGAATTAGCCATTCTCAGTTAATGGCAGAGAATCTCCCTTTCCTCTCATACACACATGCATTAATTTTTAGGATTTATGAAACATTCTAGACACTAGTATATGTAGTTAGCTTTCTACATGACTGTTGTACTTTGTTTCATCTTTAATAAGATATACAGTCTAGACCAGTAGTTTTGAACCTTTTTGTACTGTTAGCCATCAGCCTTGAATTTAAGGCAGTGGTGTACACATACAAATCTAAAAAAAACTTAAAAGAGTGGTTTATATTAATAAGAAGGTAAAAGAAATAATTCAAGTATGAGTCAACAATATGTGAATGTTGAGTGCTGGTTAGTGGAGTACTTTGGCAACTTACTGAGATTGCCCTCCAGTTTTGGGATGTGGGGTTTATTTTCTTTTTGATGTTTTTCACTGGTTCTTGCCCCAGGAAGGTTTTCATGTAACTGTGGAAAAATGCGTACCACAAGTTGGGAATAGACAATAGTATAAGAAGTTAACTTGCTACAATAATGTTGTACTTTGTGTTGTGGACTTTGTTTGGAACTAGACATTACAAACACCAGTATATTATTAAAATATTCTTGAAACAATGTACAATTTTCTCTGTTATTTCTTACAGTCATGGTTGCCATGCTAATCTTTATTAATAATATAGTAAATTGTATGTATTTAAATGTCATTGTAATAAATATATTTGTCTGGACATTAAAAAGTTGAAAGAAAACTATTTTTAGTTATTAAAGGTTTATATCAGTATCTCACAAACTGTTTCATCTTTCAAAAGTTTTCGTACAGCTTCCTAAAAGTATAGAGGTAATGTCACTATTAATCTAATAACTTGAAGGAAATGTTCAAAAAATGGAGCGAAGTTAAAAGGTTAGTAGTATTGTTTGTTTTTACTCTCTAAAGCCTAAAACTGTTCCATGTTAAACCTGACTGTTTTTGATGGTAGAACTCAAACCCAGTGATCTGAATGATGTTGGAATTGTTGGAGGGTCCACCCGTATTCCTGCAATTAAACGTTTGATACAGAAGGTTTTTGGTCGAGAGCCTAGCACTACACTCAATCAAGACGAAGCTGTTGCTCGAGGTTGTGCTTTACAGGTATTTCTGTGATTATCTTATTATTCTTAAAATAACTTTTATGAGTAGGGACTGCCATCTTTAGATATTTGAATTTCAATGATGTACAATTTTTTCAAAATAAAGTACTATTAAAATGAAATGATTATCTAATTTGACTTAAATATTTGTTTCTGTTTTCAGTGTGCTATGTTGTCACCAACATTTAAAGTTCGAGAATTTTCCATCACTGATATTCAACCATATCCTATAAAGATTACATGGGATGCTAGTGTCAAAGAAGATGGGTACATTTTATTAAATATTTTTTTCTTTGGTTATTAATACTTAAATGGTTCCTAAGTGTTAGTTATGTGAGTTTACTTGTGTTAATGTGTGATTCAGTTTACTTGTGTTGGAGTTAAAGAATGCTAGCTAATTGTGATTTTTATGTAAGTTGTTTTTATTGTTTAGATAAATTTTGAAAAGTTTGGGTAGTTTATGGGTTTTTTTAGTAAACTATTTCTTCTTGTTTGGGTAAGATTTAGAAAAAGTTAATTTTCTCCTATCAGTTTTTATAGTTTTTGATTTGTTTCTACAGAGAAATGGAAGTGTTTCCAAAGTTTCACCAAGTTCCATTCTCAAAGATGCTTACATTCTTTAGAACTGATGTGTTTACACTTCAAGCTTTCTATGTTGACAGTGCTAACATTCCATATCCTGACTCACATATTGGTAAGTTCTTTTTCTAGTGAACATTATAGTGCAAGAAAACTTCAGATAGTCATAATTGCTATTGTAACTTATGTGGTTATTTATATTGTATTTATATAGTTATTAATATTTTTGTTATTGGAGTTTATATAATTATTACATAGCATCTTTGCAAACCTGTTACAGGAAACAACTTAGAACCTAGAAGCAAAAGTGTTTATCTCCAAGAAAAACATCAAACATTGTTAAAGTGAATACTAACAACTGAGAGTAGTGATGTAAATGATATTGGCTTTAGTGAGGTTGACTTCTTCAGTGAATCCAGTTCTGTCTGTATAATATGATACACATTCAGGAAAAGTAAAAATAGAGCACTGGATGTCAACATTGTTTTGACATTACCAGGATTAATGATTTAGGTGTGTTAATAAAAGACATCAGTTTGTGATAAAGTAGAAGCATCTTTATACTATTTGTGAAGTGTAAGTGTAGAAGAGAAAGGTAAGAACTGTGCTGTTGGGGATTATTTATACTGTCTGTGAAGCGTAAATGTAGAAGAGAAAGGTAAGAACTGTGCTGTTGGGGATTATTTATACTGTCTGTGAAGCGTAAATGTAGAAGAGAAAGGTAAGAACTGTGCTGTTGGGGATTATTTATACTGTCTGTGAAGCGTAAATGTAGAAGAGAAAGGTAAGAACTGTGCTGTTGGGGATTATTTATACTGTCTGTGAAGTGTAAATGTAGAAGAGAAAGTAAGAACTGTGCTGTTGACTGCCTTATATTTATTTCCAATGTGTTGATAAAGTAGCTATATTTATTAAAGTAGATAAGAGGTTCGGTTTTGGTTATTTCTGCATAAAGAAAGCTAAAAGTTGCAGTAAATAGAACATCTTTTTGTTTGAAGGTGAATTAGATAAACATAATTATCTAGGTACAGATTTGCAAAAGACAGCAGTGGCTTTCACTAAATGTACCAAGTAATATTAAAAGGTTATGCATTTGTGAATTTTTCTAGAGAAAAGTGGGCTTTCTCATAAGCTGTTATTAGCTGTTCTAGTTGTGTCTCTGTATCATCATTGGTGAATTCAAGCTGTGGTGTTTCTAATGTGTAGATTTTGTTTGTCTTACATTGTGAAGCCAGAATTATCTTAACATAATACACCAGCTGACTGTACTTTATACTTATGTGATTAATGAGTAAAAAATGTGCTAAAAGATGCCCAGTTGTGATAGAGGAAATTTATAACTTTAAAACATTCACGGTTTATTTTTACTATAATTCTAGTGGATTGGAATTTTGCAGTATATTTCTATTTTAATTAGCACCGTTAAGTATTATTCTAGTGGACTGGAACACGCAGATTTTATTTTAACGATAATTAGTATCATTAAGTGTAATTTTAACCCTCTTACTACAGGCATCTTTTCTGCACGCCATGAGGTTTTGGTGTGTTACATTTAAAGTTTAATTAAAATATATTACCATGGTATACAAATAAACTTGGCATCAAAACATAGTTAATAAAACAAATTTTAATTTTATAAGGAAATATTTTTAGAAAAATCCTCAATCTCAACCTAGTATTAGAATTGTGATATTTGCTATCTAGGTATCCCCGTCTTCTCTAATTCATTTACCACCTCTCAAAAAGGTGTGAAATTTGATGTAAATTACTCGTTATAATGTTGTCATTGCTCAGGCAAAGCATTTAGCTGAATTTTTAACAGTTTTTGTTGCATAGCTAGAAAGCCTGAAAAACTGTGATAGTTATAGGACATGCCTCTTTTTTGCATGCAAATAGTCTGTGTTCTTTGGGGCATTATTAAAGTAAATAGTTATTTATTGTAGTAGTTCCATTAGTATAAAAATAGTGGGGTTAAGCTTCATCAACAGTTGACAGGAAAAAAAAAAGACTTAGGTAAATACTATATTTCTTGTCTTTCATATGTATTTATTTATTTTTACAAAAGTAACTAAAATCTAAAAATTTGAAATTTTTTAGGTTAGTTTAGATAAGATAAAAAAATTATAATAATTTTTCATGAAGTATGTGCTTGAGCAACTTGCGAGTAGCCTGCACATTATGTTGTTTGATAGGGTAATTTACAACTTGTGTGGCAGGATTATTAGTTAGACAGGTTCAAAGAGTAATAAAACCATAAAATATAAGTATAAACAGATGTATACTGTTATGAGTTTAACTTTCAATACGGGGTTGGTCAATGTGATGTCCTCGTAACCAACCATTTTGTGCTGTTATAGTTTTCATGCCATAACTTTTAAATTAGTAAGGAAATGTTAACTAAATTTGGCAGATTATCAGTAAACATTACAGTGCTTTCCTATGCAAAATATCATTTTTTTTATTAAGTTGTAAGGTTTGTAAAGCAATGTTTCTGTCATGCCTTTTTTTTTCTTTTCACATCATGCCTATCAATCATGCAAAGTAAATTGAATTTTAAGATTAAAAATACTTTTATGCATCAGACAATTTTCAAATTTCACATGCAAAATCTTTATAATGTCCATATAGTTATCAAACGTTTTTTAAGAAAAAACTTTACACTTTATTTATTTTCAGTAATTAATATCTGTACGGGTTCAGTAGATTTGAACGATCTTCCAACCACCATAAAAAATTAGGAAATAAACATAAGTTATGCCTCTTTCATTCTAGAATGAACACAAATTATAAGACTGAAACATAAATGTTTAGACAAAATAGCTTAATTCTCATAACATTATACATTTATATATATTTATTATTTTTATTATATTGACCTTTCAGCCATGCCTGGTTAACAATACAGAAGGTACAATGACATGGCTCACGTGCACTCATGTTACCTTATCAAATAACATTAAACTAACCTTTGGTCTGTACAAACTAACTTGGCTGTGTTTTAGTAGACTAGTATTTTGTAAAATACAGTCACATTTCAATTATTATACATTATATATGTATGTAGATTATCTCTATTTTGAAATAAGTTCTTAAACATAATTTTCTTAAAACATAGAACGGTAAATAAAGAAGTAAAGCAAACAATTATCTCTCCTAGTTATGACCTATGTACTTGGTTGCTGCTTGACGTAGGTTGCTATACCTTTTAAAATTTTGCACGTGGAGGATATGAAATAAAATCTTTTTTTAGGTTTTATGTATACATTTGAATAACTGAAAATTCATAAATTAGTACATTAATGCCATGCACTCATGTTACTGTATCAAATAACATTAAAATGACCATAGGTCTGTACAAAGTCAGACAAAGTTTTAGTACACTAGTATTTTGTAAAGTAGTCACATTTCAATTATTATACATTATATATATGTACCTAGATTATTATTTTGAAATAAGTTCTTAAAATTATTTTTCTCAAACATAGAACAGCAAATAAAGTAAAGCAAACTAATAACTAAAAAATCATAAATTACTACATCTGTACCATAGAATTCCACTATAATTTATCAAGCTTAGTAACTAAGATGTATTTTACTCTTTAAAAATATTAAATTTCGAGCAGACGAAAGACACATCCTACCTTCTTGAAATCTTGGTTCAAAAGAAAAAAATGGCACTAGCCACATTAGAAATGCTCAGAAAACCACTAGGGGGACATTCTGAGCTTCTGATTGGTTATTCATGTCACATATATATATATATATATAGAAGTATATGTATATAAGGGAGCAGTTCCAAAAATGGGAAGAGATGGGCGAGGTGCCACTGTGTTTGATTTATTACATGAGAAATATCTTAGCAAATTGAAAAGATGAGAGGCTCTTATTTTATTTTTTAGCTTGTCAATATCAGTAATTCGAGTTTCTAATTTGTAAGAAACTATAGACTTAGTATTTTGACTTCATAAACATCTAATTTGAACAAGTGCTGCATTCAACATGCCACATGATGCACAAAAATCAATGTTTATCTGTGTTTTTTTTATATTTACTTTTAAATTAAAAATTGAGTAATGTCTAGTTCTAAAATTTGAATTATAAGCTACAGTTTGATACCAAATGCGAGGCAACAAACGAGATGACATGGCTTTTCACCTAATGATCCGTCTCGAAAGGGTTAAAGCTATTAGGATAAATAAATGTAGTTTCATGATACAATTTGAAGTCATTCTAGAATGAAAAAAGGGTAATTTAGAGTTATTTTTATTTTTGATTTCTTTTCTGGTTGTTGTGAGATCGGTCAAATTGACCAACCTCGTACATAGTTAGGGTAGAGAAAATAACAGATAAAATTTAAAGTTTTACTGAAAAAGAAATGTTTGAAATGTATTTAGGAGGTTTTACAGATTATGCAATTCAAATTTGAGATTTTTCAGATGAAGAAAACTATTTTTAATCTTAACATGAAAATCACATTGCACTTGGAGCAGTCAACACTGACACATGGAGAAAATTTAGTAAAAATACCTCATTAAAAATTCTGGTTTTTGTCTACAAAAGAGTTAATCGGGCAAGCAATAGCACTGTCTGTGGAGGGATGGCTCAAATTGTCCATCAAAATGGTATTTTAAATATCTCCTCAATAGATCATCAGAACTTTACAGTACTATACAGTGTTTCCTTTTATAACAATATCTATGTAATGTCTGAGCGAAAATTCTGGGAATGTCTTTGAATATCATAGCAAAAAGTTTGAATTTCTTGTTCTTCTTTCTTCTTATTTTTTATTGCACGATAATTCAAAAACCAAAACGTTGGTGTCAACCAAATTCACTGTATTTTAAATGGAGTATCCACTTTTTAAGTATTATTAACTAGTAGTAAATAAAAAAACATAATTCTAGTGTAAATGATTTTAGCTATCTTACAGAAATTAGATGCTTCTCTAATCCAATTGCCATGGGCATCCTTCACTGCACATTTCATGAGATGTTTTTAATGAGTTACATTCAAATGTTAAGCTGCTTTTTATTTGTTATATCAATAAGTATAGCATAAAATTTAATAGTATATATGCCATGGGCATCCTTTACTGCACATTTCACGAGATGTTTTTAACGAGTTACGTTCAAAAGTTAAGCTACTTTTTGTTTGTTATATCAATTAGTATAGCATAAAATCATTGCTAATAATCCATATTTTAATAGTATATATGTTTTAAGTTCTTAATTTTATAAAAGCAATATTGAAAAAAAATTCTGAACTTCCCTTAGTTTGAGAAATGTGAAATTTTGTCTCTAGGCATACCCTTGTCTCTAATTTATTCATAGCTCCTCCAATAAGTAAAAAATTTAATGAAAATTACTCACTATAATATCGTTGTTGCTCAGACAAAGCATAATTGTCATAGCCTTCAGTTTTATTTGATTACAGAGCTATCAAATAGAAAATCAGACCCCTCTTGCTACACCCACCTGTCACATCCTCTTACCTTTAATATTATATTATTTATAACCAATAGAAAGTCTGGGTTTTCATCTATCAAATGATTTATTATATTATGTTCTTTTCTGTACAGAGATTTGTCAATTTCTCTTTCAGTACAAGCTTAGTTCCCATGGAAAACATTGACTAGCATGGATTAATTTGTAACCGCTCTTGTCGCACAGTTAGAAAAACTGTGATAATTATGGGTCATTGTCTGCTTTTTCCATGTTCTTTTATGCATTATTTAATTAAATAAAAATTATTTGGTGCACAACTACTACCATTAGTACTAATTTAAAAAAAAAAAAGGTTAAGTGTCATAGACAGTCAACAGCAAAAAAAAAAAAAGGT